TTTGCTCTGCAAGCCTTTTGTATTAGGCCATTTTCGTGTTCTCTCAAGCCTCTATTTCAAAGCGAGGCGAAGTACAAAGCCATTGATATGAAAACGATTTTTATTATCATGCAAATGTAACAAATATAACGGTGGTCTACAGTAAAATAGGATATGCGTTATGGTAATCGGCAAGAGTTTAATTAGTAATACAATGTGATTTGGCGATATACGTGAATGTCTTAACCTGATTTTTCTTTTATACACACGTACTTTGCAGAACAGGCGTTATTTATTTTCGCGGGGGTTCAAGTGAGCGAAGGCAAGCGAGAAGCGCGAGACTAGGACGACAGAGGAAGGCCTTGTCTTGCGCCCCACGCCCACTTCGTGTTTATTCGCGCGATAAACGTAAAAAAAATAGCGTCTGTTCATGGGTGCGTGTGGGTATCAAGAAAATCAACGCGGACGTGTTACACTTTGCGATATAATGTTTTACTTGCAAACACTGTATAACTTTTGAATCCAAAAACGGCTATCATGTAGTGGTTTTAAGGCAGTTGTGTTTCCGTTTTGAGGTTTATTCATAATTTCATCTTATTTTAGTTCTTTAAGTGGGCGGATGAATACCAAGCTAATAAAACTGGATCAAAAGAAGTAGGTCAAAAGCCTTCAAGTAAACTGACTGTTTCATCTCCTGACAGCCTTATGTCTTTCCTGAAAAGCCACGTAAGTTGAAACATTTTTTGGTTGTTCAGAGCAGAGTGTAATACTGTGGCTTTTTTTTTCTGGCCTTCGCTGACCCTGAATGGTTTCAAGTAGCTGCAAAATAATAATGTTAACGATGACGACAACGACTATGGTATTGATGATGACAGTAATAATTAAATCTATAATCTAAAGCATTAAACGACTCTTGCGTTGATTTCAGAATGTAGCGTTTTACTGCGAATGCCGTCTGATAAGGAAGCATACGGAGAGTGGAGGGAAGTTTGGGGCCGCAAAATTTTTTGCGTCCTCTTTTTCTGCGGTTTAAATGTTTCTTTTTGCGCTTAGAACGGGACGAACGGCTGCCTTGCTTACGCTAAGACAAATATTATAGCATTTGACACACTCACACAAACCCACGACCTAGCTTGTACCTAACTCATGCGCACAGCCATATCACCCGGGCGGTGGCAGATAAGACAGCTGTTTCGACGTTATCAGGGCTCATCAGCATGGCGTAGCCATCAAACCTTATCCAAGTAAGGTTTCAAAAGAAAGATCGACTAAGTGAATCGAATGTTTTTTCCACGGCATATTTCATTGCATTCATGAATTAAGAACGTATTCTTTTACAGAAGTGGGGGAAACAGAGAAACAGTGATCTTGAAAACAACAAGAAAGGACTTTACCTGGAACTACCCCGAAAAGAGCATTCGTCGACTTACTCAAAGGGTGAGTTCAAGCTACCACAGGAGCAGTATACTTAAGCGCTACTTTGATGCGCTTATACAATAGTTGGATTCTGATTAAACCTGATACTGGTATCGTCGACAATAGGCAGATTTAGCGCGGGAAAAGTTTGAACGATGTTACTTAATTTGCCGCTCTGCCATCGGTCAATTTGGGTTAGATCTGCGCACGCGCCTTTGTCGCTTAGCTTAATGTGTTATATGACTTAAGAAAGATAAGTCTCCCCACCCGATCAGTCCACGCTTGTTCGAGAAACCTTTACACAGTCAACTGTTCCTAAGACAAATATCGTTGGGACAGGCGCTAAATATTTATGCCAGAGAGATATTTGCCTTGTAAGGAGTCAAGGAAAAGGGCTTAATCTGCAGGAATAAAGCGACAAACTCCCAATGTCCGGTTTTAAGCGATGCCACTGTGGACAATTCGTAACTACCAACAGAGCGTTTCAACATTGTTACGACATTGTTTCGAATTGTTTCAACAGTGTTCCAACAAATTGTACAGCCCGGAAAATCGTCGTTGTTAATCGTCTCATGTAACATCACCTTTAGTCTAAGGTTTTAGAAAAAAAAGGTGTCTGTTATGATAGCTGTATGTAGCTTGTGCATCATTATTTGTAGATGACTTCTGGATCATATCAAAGAAGCTTTCTTTTGATCAAGAGTCAACATTCATAGCAAGCAGTGTTTACTATGGTCCGTCCTCTAGTGGAGAGCTAGAAATCACACCAATCAGGTTTGAAATCGCTTTCTTTGAGTGACTGTAAAAACACTATTTAAAAGGTCGATGACCTAAGCTTTACACCTTAACGTTGTTGCATCCTTGAACGCATACTAGCTGGGATCTCAGTCCTGTACTACGAGTAGTCCCTATTTTTCCTCAGGGATAGTAGAGCGAACGAAACTCAAGCGCGTGTGAAGATCACTTTCACGCGCGCTCGCGTTTCGCTCGCTCTACTATCCCTGAGGAAAAATCGGGACTACTCGTAGTCTACCTCAGTCCTTGGTGGGTTCAACCGCGCTGTGCAGAGCTTGGGTGTAAGATAAGACGAATTCCAACGCTTGGCCCTCCAGGTTGGGAATGGGCCGCGATGGGTTAATGATCTATCTGCAAAAAGGTCTCAGTACTGAAACCGGACAGACTTTTTAGATAGAAATGTGGAGGCCTTATGCGCAACAGAGCAGCAGATCAACAAAAGGCCGACGACTGACATAAACCTCAAATAAAGATGAACCATTTCTTTTAGATAAAAAATAACCCACCTTTGTAATACGCACATCTTCAAAATGCGGACATGAAAAGTTCTGTCCTTCGTAAAAGTAAAATTGCTTTTACTTGTTTGGTGTAGATGAGTATACCACCTTGTCTCTCCTCTGTCAAATTGGTGAGTGTTCCATAAATAATGGGAAAGCAGTCAGTCTTCTCAGTCTATCTCCTCCACAGGCCAGGTTTCCAAGGCTTAGTGGGGAGCACGTGGCAAGCGAGAAGCGCGAGAGCTGGAGACAAGCGAGAAACGCGATAGGGGGATGATGGAAACGAGCTTTCCTTAATAATTTAAAATTCAAATATCCCCCAAAAAGTGATCGCGAGCGACTGGGGACGAGGTAGCTTTGTTAGTTGACTCAATTATCTTGTTTGGAGTCAATTCCTCTATAAGCAGAAACAAAAGAAATCAAGACAAGGCAATTAAATTTAGCTGTCTTCTATGATTCATTGGGGATATATACTTACCAAATCATCTTTGGGTGACCACCTTTTAACCAAAGGCAGAGGTAGCTCGACTGTTGGAACTCTAGTCTGTTGAGCGAGAAGTCGTGGGTTTCATTCCCAGGGCTCGGTCATGACTCAGGTTTTCAAAACAACCCGAGAAAAATGGGCTGTTTTGCTGTGCAACCCGCTAAACCTTCGCTTGGTTCATATGACCACGTAGAAATGATGGTCCCGTCTCCAGTAAAGGGTACCTCGCGCTTACACATTCACCCTGTTTTTTTTCTCACATCAGTGTTCTTAAAATAAACTGTTAATCGTGCTTTTTGTTTTTTTCACAACAACTACGTGTTTTTTATGTCCTAACATTTCAGTGGTTATTCGCCTTCAAACTGGACAAGTGGAGGTAAGTCCCCAGGAACTAATTAGACAATCCAATAGTCGGTTTTTTACCTTACGTTTACTCGAAGGACAAACAAAAGCAAATATTTAAAAACGACGTGGGACTTGCAAAAAATGACCAAGGTTTTTTGGACAATTATGGCACAACACGACACATGCACAGTTCATATCGTGTATGAAGCACATTCAATATTCCTTTTTTTAATGTGTGTCGTTTGTTACTTTTTCATTGTTTTATATGTTTAACACAGAAATCGTTCATGCATTGATGGCTTGCAATGCTGGCACAGAACTGACCTGTATCAGTAATATTGAGCAACATGTCAAACAACAGAACATGCCCGTACTATCTTACATTCTACAAAGGTGGGTTTAATCCCGAAGAATTTCCTCTTTCGAAATTGTACTGAACTGTATTCTAATACATATATTTAGCCAAGCCTAAAAGCGGAGCTCCCGATTTCAATACAATAATGATGATGATGATGATCGTTTTATTCACACTGGTGCACAATACGATATAACCTAGTTGTAAATACTGATATCGGCCAGTCGGTATCGAGATGTAGTCTACCACGCAGCCAGATCGGTGGGTTATGCATAGTTCAGATGTTGAAGCTGCCTATAATGTCTGCTTTTTCTTATTATTGGGCTGCCTGTGGTAAATCCTTATCTAGTTATGGTACACTACTAAAGGATGGTTCAAACGGCTGTGGGTGAGAGATTTTTTATCACTCTTAAAGGGCTGCTACCCTTGAATAGCCAGTGTGTATACTCTTGGCTCACGGATTGAGGGTTAGTAGGGAAAGAGAGATCGCTTCTTTTTCCCATCTCCCTTCGTCAAGATCTTACCCTCGAGCTAACCCATATTCTTCAAATCAGACTTAACCTTGTGTGTAATTCTGGATCTGCAAGACCTGGTATTATTATATGGCTGAATCCTCGAGCAGGCGAGATAAAGTGAATCCTGCGCTTTGATTAGCTACCCGCGCAGGTAAGATGGGCCCATCTTTCCGGCCCGGGATATGCCGCGTTTGGTCCCGCAAGAAATAGGTTTCTTGTAAACCATACAATAAATCCCTTATTGACCAATCTCCTTCGGTCAATATGGCTGTATGTTAAACTCTTTCTTTTGTTGCGTTTTTACTGACCTCGACTTCTTTCCGGTCAATAAATGCGCAAAGAAGAACTTGGCCAATATCCAGCCATATTGACCTCACGCTTGGTCATTAACGCATATATTTGTGTGTGAAAGGTGAATTCTACTGTTACCAGTCGTTTTGATACAAGGTCATTTCGCTACAAGGCTTTTGGATACAAGTTTACTCACTCGAGTTGAAAATAGTTTCACGCCCTTGGCTTAAAGAACGAAGAAAATTTACAGAAAATGTTTTTCTTGTTCATGCGCAAACTATTCTGGAAGAGAACGTGTAATTTACTGCTTAAGTTCGTGTCGAAACGACTTGTATCGAAATGACCGGTTACCGATTCTTTTACCTTGGAATTTTGTATAGCCCAAGTGTTGTGTGACTAAACCTGGGTACAGGAACGTCACAATAAAAGTACTATGCAGAATGCATAGTTTGTTTTCTTGTGATCATGTTGCAGAGAGCAGACAGTAGAACCAAACGTACGAACCACATCTCGAACGTCATCCTTTGTTCCCCCGAGGTTAACAACTTGCAGTAACCAACTGGATCTTCCATCAGAAGTAACGGTAATTCAGCTTCTTTTACCTCCTGTTGTTGTAATGTTTTTAATTGTTTCGACATAGTTTTACAATGAGTCTCTTTCTTTTGTTCTGTTTGCATGCAGGAAAGCTTAGCAGAGGAAATGATAGCTCGGTTTGATTTAAACAAGGTACGTCGCGAATGCTTACTTTCCATATTACCATTAACATCTTAATATTATATATACCAAGAGTGTGCTTTTTTTAATTATTAGAGATGCAGATCACCTTATTGTTTCTTTTCTCTTTTCTTTTTCATAAACACCATCATTCTTAGTTATCTCCTTATAAATTTGATAAAGAATGGACACAGTGCTCTAGAGCCTCAAGTTTGTCTTCGTGGAGCTGGATGTCTTTAAGCTGCAATAAAACGCGCAACAAAAACGTGCAGAACGAGTTGAATAGCGATGTTTGCCTTTTACCACCCACGAATCAAACCTGTCAGGCAACAAAGCAGAGAAAACTTTCTGATTTTGTGATTTATTCATATCTATAAGGCAAAGCATTTACAGCAGTTGAAGGTAGGGATGTGAAAGGGGTACCATTTTTCGATAGAGGGTACACGAAGGGGGTTCTTTTTCTCTCAAAAATGCCGTATAAAAGGGTAAGGAGTTGGACCTCGGAGCGGAGCCTCCCTGAAGAAAACTTTGTCGAGTACCCGCCGGGTATGCGAACATAGGATACTAAGTGGTTACAGAGGTTCAGTCATTTTTTCGTCATTCTAGGACCAAGCAACCGCTCTTCTGTCATGTGCAAGAATGTTCAACTCGTCAGTGGATATAACCTCTCCCTCCCCACCAGTTTGTCTGATTCACGGTAAGTTCACACTTGTACTTCATTTCGCCTTGCCGTCTTGCCGTCGCTGTTCTATATCTAGTAGAGTTATTTAAAGTCAGCGATTCTCTCAATAACCAGAGGTATGGTTAACTTATTTGCATGTAATGAGTCTCCTCTAATTCCTTTTGAGAAGTATCGTGGCTTTATACTACATCGAAATTAAGGCGCCTGGTTATTTAAATTCTTATGCTGTCTCTCTTGAGGATGTTGCAAACGATTGGAGCCAAGACTTGCTCCCTCAGAAGAACTTATTCAGCCCATTCAAAAACTCGCTGGTCTCTCTTGGCCTCAATTCAGTTCAGGGAAACTTTAAATAATCCTAAATCAGTTCTATTAATCTTTTACTTACCCCAAAGAGCACAGTAAAAATGGGTCCTGTGAATTTACAATAAGACCATCTAGCCTAAGCGAACCAGTGACGCACAAGAGGTCATTTTTTCGTAGATGTTAACTTGATAGAGTCAATTCTGTCTTAACGGGCACCTTTTTTAAGGTGGATTTCCACTGTGACGTTCGCCTCGAATACGTCACCGAAGTGAATTGGCCGAGAGGGACTGGGGAAACCCCGTACAGGGACTATATAACAGTTACTTAACAGTTAACAGATGAATTTTAGGCCCAAAGTGTTACTCCCATAAAAGATGCTGTTATCACTGTAGCTGTCTCACGACTGAGGCTTAGCACAGTAAAGCAGAAACTTGCAAGCCTCACTTCGTAAAAGGTTTTACGGAGGGGTGGGGCGGGGGAATATGAGGGAGTAGCTTATATCTGGAAGCTTATCGATGGAGAATAAATGTTAAGCTGTTAGCTGACAAGAGGGGCTCACGATCATCGGGGAAGGAATTGCTATAATCGGCCTTTCGTTTTCGTTTGCATCTTAATAAGCAGGATAATTAATTGGGAGCTTAAGCAACAAGGATCAATTTGGGAAACTGCCCACCTACCCCTCCCCTAAGCCATCATTTTGCCCTAAATGACAACCAAGTGCTTATGTTAGCTTAGGGGAGGGGTAGGTGGGCAGTTTCCCAGAAACCTAAATTAATCCAACGACGACGACGGCATCTTTAAAAGCACCAGGTGACTACGAAGTAAAAATACCTAAGTTCACGTTTTGTGTAGGACGAGAACACAAGACAAAGAGTTTCTTTTTATTTCCTGAACTTTGATACAGTCTTTTAGAATTCAACTCCAGAACAATTTGCTAACGTTTGACGAATTGAACGAGATGGAACAAGCGCGAAAAATTTTGATGCAGCGCGAATTCACTTTTTAAGCGACGTTTTCGTAGCCGTCGCCGTTGTTGTTGCCTAAGCTCCCTAACTGGCGACAAAGTATGGCTTATAGCAGCATATTACTAAAAGCTGAAAACATGCGAGTGAAGTTACTTAGAGCAAAAAAAAAAGGAAGCTTATATATGTCGGTAATTTATAATCATTTAATGATTTATACCCGTACAGACTGTTGGAATTGGGTTTCGATGAATTTGTTCGCGTGGGCAGCATTCGTAAAATAGCCAAACCAGTGTTACCTTACAGTGTGCACAGTACAGGAAGCGATAGTCAAGAACTGAAGGAACTTCAATCTTTACTCAAAACTGAATTGACACCATCCGAACGAACGTAAGTACTCACTAGTAGAAGATTTGAACTCAGTTAGAAAAGTAGACCCAATCGTCGTTGTCCATCGTCTTAGTCAAATGTATTGAAAGGTTGATACTCTTCACCTTTTATGATTGTCTCTCCCCACCCCACCCCCCTGCAACAATAGGTTGATTTAGCAACAGAAAGGGAAGGTCAGTTGACGACAGCGCGTGCTAGTCAAACAACTGGCTTGACCAATGGGTGAGCGGCAAATTGGGCACCAGAAGTCGAGTTTAGTCCTTTCCGCGCACTTTCCCGTCGTCAAATGATGTTCCCGTTCTAGTGCTAAATCAGCCTAATTTTTTACTTATCTGTACTCTTCAATGCGCATGTGATCTGTGATGTTCCAACATTGAAAAAGGGTTGGGGGGGGGTGAGAATACTTGAACGAATAATAACCTTTCCGTCCACTTTTGTAAAGATTGTACTCTTTTGAATTTTTTTCAGCTTTGTTTTTTCTTCTAGCTACGTTCGAAAGAGCATTGAACGACATAAGTTAGGAGAAAATAAAAAGGTGAGAACAACAACAAAAAACGCAATTCAATTGTATATCTCTCTTCGATAACAATGGTAGTCGTTGGTCGCAATAACCTGACCGTTTTTGAACCCACAACTATTGGAAGCGTTTTGGTGAAAGAGGGTCGGTCGCCGTCAACTTCCCGACTGGCTCGGCTCGCTCTAGTGTTCCGTCACTCATGTGATGATATTAGTACACCACGTTTACCAAATAGCACTTTCTACTGTGATGAAGGTGATAAATTCCTGATGTTAGTTGTTCCCTTTTGTTTTCTGAACAACCCATTCTTGACTTAAAAATTTGATTACGATTGAAAGTGTCTAGTTGTGCAAAATCCTGTTGTTTCTCTTTCGTTTTCAGAAATTATCTCAGGTTCGAGTGGTGGGGGTCACGTGTGCTGCCTGTGTGTTTCCTTGCCTGGATAAGTTGAAGTTTCAAGTATGTTGAGTGGCTAACTGTATTAGAGTCCTTTTGATTCTGAGACTAGAACGACTAATTAACTACCCTGCGAGCAGAGGCTACATTTTCGCTGTGTGAGCTGGCGTTCAGCTCACACAGCGAAAATGTAGCCTCTGCTCGCAGGGTACAAATTAACAATTATTCCTCAAGCCCGAATGGGCTCTGCGTCAATAGCCGATGAGGCCGAAGGCCTCATGGGCTATTGACTCAAACATTTCCCACACAGGGCAACCAATCTGCCATGACACGTACACTTACCCAGACATGCCAAGTTATTTAGAGAGAATATTGTTAGGATTTGACTTGTCATTATTTTATCATATTTATCTGTTTGATAGATTCTACTCCTGGATGAATGTAGTCAAATGACAGAACCAGCTTCTCTTCTACCCATGGCCAGGTGATGATCTCAAACAAATCTTTGATTTTTATTCATATCCTAGATGGATAAAGAAGATGAAATCTGTACTTTTGAAGAAGAACCTTACTGAATGTATTTAGTCTGCGTTTACTTCTTGTGGTTCCATTTAGATTTGAATGTCAGAAACTCGTCCTGGTTGGTGACCCAAAAGTAAGTAGATTGAATAACTTGTTCTACGGTGACCATAAAGGCCGCCATCCTTCACTCTATCCAACATTCCCGTTCGAGGTCTTCCCGGGAGACTCTTCCGTACTCGATTCTCCCCTCAATCACTTACAGGACAAAATCACCATGCCGTAGGCTATGACCAAGCCAGATTCTCTGTCTTCTTTTGATAACAGATGCCCTCTACTCACCGAAACACCTCAATACTTCTTTGTTACAGACTTTGTCAGACTAAGAAACGTTTAAGACCTTCCTCCGCATATAGCTTCATGATAAGCAGGTCAAACTCTCCTGTCCAAATCTAAGTTGCATGCATATCTCCCCTCGCAATGAAGATTAACCTTGACTATTCTTATTTATCTATCAATTCATTTGTCCTGGCTTCTTTTGAAACCTCAGTTCCCTCAGGCAATCTCTAGTTTTTCTCTTTCTTTGTTGGTTCAGTCGCGTTATAAATGGTAATTTTCCTCTAAGAGAAGTTGATATAGAGAGACGTTTTGAGCACAAATGTCTAAAGAGTGTAAATACAATAATTATCCTGACCTTGTTCTTATTTAGCAATTGAGTCCTACGATTCAAGGTTCGGAGCCTGAACACGAAGCTGGCCTTGAGCAAACTTTGTTTGATCGACTTATGAAGATGGTAAGTTTACCTGGATGGCGTAGAAAATAATATACAGGCTTAACACATCTATAAAAATCCAGTGTCGGTAACCTAATAATATCAATCAAAAAACAGAGCCTGGGCTTATTAATAACGCAACAGTCAAACACAATACAGATCACGCGCTTATCACGAACTTAACAATCAAGCAAAAAATTGACCACGATCGTATCAAACACCAGTTGAGGAGTTGCAAACATTTTAACCATTTTACTAATGAACAGTTACGACTTATCGGTATTTCGAGTAACAATATCGCCAGCTGTCCCCTTTGAAACACAAAATAGACCGCGCGCTTACTACTAACGTAACAATTAAAGGAAAAAACAGCATACGCGTAACACTAAATAAACCATCAAACACAAAATAGAGCTTGCGCCTATCACTAACACAACGATAAAACACAAGGCAGACGGTGCGCTTATCACTAACATAACAATCAAACACAAACACAGCGTGCTGTATCACTAACGTAGCAATGAATTACAAATATAGTATGCGCTTATCACTAACGTAACATAAAAATACAAAACAGAGCGTGCGCTTATTACTAACGTAGCAATAAAGTGTAAATAAAGTGTGCCCTTCTTACTAACCTAACAATCTAACACAAACATAGCGTACTTTATCACTAACGAAGCAACAAAGTACAAATATAGTTTGGAATTCTCACTAACGTAACAATCAAACATAAACACAGCTTGCTTCATTGCTAACGTAGCAATGAAGTAAAAATATATGTACGCTTATCACTAAGATAAGCAATCAAATGCAAAACAGAGGGTGCATTTATCACTAACGTCACAATAAAGTACGAATATAATGCGCGCTTCTCACTAGCGTAACAATAAAACACAAAACAGAGCGTGTGCTTATCACTAACGTAGCAATAAAGTACAAAACTAGCGTGCGCTTATTACAAACGTTACAATAAAGCACAAAACATGCCGTGCCCTTATCACTAACGTAACAAAGAGGTACAAATATAGTGAGCGCTTTTTACTCAGGTAACAATACAGTACAAATATAGTGTGCGCTTCTCAATTACGTTACAATCAAACACAAAACAGAGCGTGAATTAATCACTAACGTAACAGTGTAGTACATATATAGTGCGTGGTTATCACGAACGTAAACATGAAATACAAAACAGAGCGTGCGCTTATCACTAACGTCACAGTGAAGAACAAATATACTGTGCGCTTCTCACTCATGCAACAATAAAACGAAAAAACAGAGCGTACGATTATCACTGTTGTAGCATTGAAATAAAGTACAAATAAAGTGTGCGCTTCTTACTAACGTAAAAATAATAAAGCACAAAACAAAGCGTTCGCTTATCACTAACGTACCAATAAACTACAACTATATTGTGCGCTTATTAGTAACGTAACAATCAAATACAAAACAGAGCGTGCGCGTATCACTAAGGTAGCATTAAAGTACAAATATAGTGTGCGCGTATCAATAACGCAACAATCAAACAAAAACACAGCGTGCTTTATCACTAACGTAACAATGAAGTACAGATATAGTGTACAGTTTTCACTGACGTTACAATCAAACACCAACACAGCTTGCTTTATTGCTAACGTAGTAATAATAAAATGTTACCTTATCAGTAAAATAACAATCAAATACGAAACAGAGCGTGTGCTTATCACTGTTGTAACAATGTAGTACAAATATAGTGTGCGCTTATCAATAATGTAAAAAACAAATACAAAACAGAGCGTGCGCTTATCACTGAGGTAACAATGAAGTACAAATATGGTGTGCACTTCTCACCAACATTACAATCAAACACAAAACAAAGCGTGCGCTTATCACTAACGTTGCAATAAAGTACAAACATAGTGAGCGCTTATCACTAACGTAACAATCAAGTACAAAACACAGAGCGCGCTTATCACTAACGTAGGAATAAAGTACAAATATAGTGCGCGCTTCTCACTAACGTAACTATAGAACACAAAACAGAGCGTTCGCTTATCACTAACGAAGTAATAAAATACAAATATAGTGCGCGTTTATCACTAACGCAACAATAAAATTGAAAACAGAGCAAGTGCTTATCACTAACTTGTCAACCTGCTACAAATATAGTGTGAGCTTATCACTACCGCTAAAATCAATTACCAAACAGAACGTGCGCTTATCACTGACGTAATGGTAAAGCACAAATGTAGTGTTCGGTTCCTACTAACGTAACAATAAAGCACAAAACAGAGCGTGGACATATCACTAAATTAACAATGTGATGTAAAAAGGGTGTGCGTTCATCGCTAACGTAACAATCAAATCCAAAACAGAAAGTGAGCTGATCACTAACGTAACAATGAACTACAAATATGGTGTTCGCTTATCATTAACGTTACACTCAAACACAAAACAGAGCGTGCGCTTATCACTAAAGTAGTAATGACGTACAAACATATTGTGGGCTTATCATTAACGTAAGAATCGAATACAAAACAGAGCGTACGCTTAACACTAACCAAACAACGTAGTACAAATTTAGTGTGCGCTTATCTCTAACGTAACAATCAAATACAAGACAGAGCGCGCGCTTATCTCGAACGTAGCAATGTAGTACAAATATAGTGTGCCCTTCTTAGTAAGGCAACATTAAAACACAAAACAGATTGTCCACTTATCACTAACGTAGCAGTAAAGTACAAATATAGTGTGCGCTTATTACTAACCGTAACAATCACCTGACCAAAACATAGCGTGCGCTTATCACTAACGTGCAAATAAAGTACAAACATAGTGTGCGCTTATCAGTAACGTTACAATCATATTCAAAACAGAGCGTGCGCTTATTACTAACGTAACAATGTGGTACAAGTATAGAGTGCGCTTATCAATAACGTTACAATCAAACACAAAACAGAGCGTTTGCTTATTACTAACGTAGTACTGAATTGCAAATAAAGTGTGCGCTTATCAATAACGTAACAATCAACACAAAATAAAGCGTGTGCTTATCACTGACCTAACACCCAAACACAATATATAGTGTGCCCTTTTCACTAACTTAACAATCAAGGACAAAACAGAGCGCGCGCTTATTACTAATGTCGCAATGAAGTACAAGTATAGTTTGCGCTTATTACTGACCTAACACCCAAGCACAAAATATAGTGTGCGCTTATCACTAACATAACAACCAAACACAAAACGGAGCGTGCGCTTATTACTAATCTTGTAATAAAGTACAAATATAACAACTAAACACAAAAACAAAGAGGGGCCGTGCGGTTATTACTAATCGTTGGTTGAATCAAAATGTATACAAATTTAACGCTGGTTAGCCCTAACCATGCTTCGAGCAACCCGGGCCTGAGCGTGCGATTGTCACTAACGAAGCAATAAAATACAAATATAGTGCGCGTTTATCACTAACAATCAATTGCAAGTCAGAGCGTAGCAATGTAGTAAAAATATAGTGTGTTCTTCTTACTAACGTAACAATAAAACACAAAACAGATTGTCCACTTATCTCTAACGTGGCAATCAAGTACAAATATAGTGTCCTCTTATTACTAACCGGAACAATCACCTGACCAAAACATAGCGTGCGCTTATCACTCACGTAACAATCAACTAGAAAACAGAGGTTGCGCTTCTCACTAACGTAACAATAAAACACAAAACAGTGCTGGTGCTTATTACTAACGTAACAATGGAGCACACATGTAGTGTGCTCTTATTGCTAACGTGACAATCGAATACAAAATAAGGCATCTGCTTATTACTAACGTAATAATGAAGTACAAAGATAGTGTGCGCTCATCAGAAACATATCAATCAAATACAAAACAGAGCGTGCTCTTATCTCTAACGTAACAAATGAAGTACGAATATAGTGTGAATTTGTTATTAACATAACAATCAAATACAAAACAGAGCGTACGCTTAACACTAACGTAACAATGTAGTACGATTATACTCTGCGCTCATCGCTAACGTTACAATCAAACACAGAACAGAGCGTGCGCTTATCACTAATCTAACCTGGTAGTGAAGTACAAATATAGTGTTCGCTTGTCATTAACGTAAGAATCAAGTACAAAACAAATCGTCCGCTTAACACTATCCAAACAATGTAGTACAAATTAAGTGTTTGCTTGTCACTAACGTAACAATCAAATACAAGACAGAGCGTGCGCTTATCTCGAACTTAGCAATGTAGTTAAGTACAATATAGTGTGCCGTTCTTACTAACGCAACCATAAAACACAAAACAGATTATCCACTTATCACTAACGTAGCAATAAAGTACAAATATGGTGTACGGTTATTACTAACCGTAACAATCACCTGACCAAAACATAGCGTGCGCGTATCACTAACGTACAAATAAATTACAAACATAGTGTGCGCTTATCACTAACGTAACAATCATATACAAAACAAAGCGTGCGCTTATTACTAAGGTAAAGACGTGGTAGAAACATAGTATGCGCTTATCACTAACGTTACAATCAAACACAAAACAGAGCGTTTGCTTATTACTAACGTAGTAATGAAGTGCAAATATAGTGTGCGCTTATCACTAACGTAACAATCAAATACTAAACAGAGCGTTCGCTTATCACTAACGTATGCAATTAGATACAAATATAGTGTGCGCCTATCACTAACGCAGTAATGAAGTACAAATATAGGGTGCGCTTATCTATAACAACAATTAAAACCAAAACAAAGCGTTCGCTTATCACTGATGTGGCAATAATGTACAAATATTGTGTGTCCTTATCATTAACGTAACATTCAGATACAAAACAGAGCGTCCACTTGTCACTAACGTAACAATCAATTACAAACCAGAGCGTGCACTTATCTCTAACGTAGTAATGATGTACAAATATAGTGTGCGCATATCACTAACGGAACAAAATACAGAACAGTGCGTGCGCTTATCACTGACGTAACAATGTAGTGCAAATATAGTGTGCGCTTATCACTTACTTTATAATCAAACACAAAACAGAGAGTGCGCTTATCACTAACGTAGTAATGAAGTGCAAATATGGTGTGCGCTTATCATTAACGTAACAATCAAATACAAAACAGAGCGTACGTTTAACACTAACCTAAGAACGTGGTACAAATACAGTGTGCGGTTATCACTAATATAACAATCAAAAACAAAACAGAGCGTTCGCTTATCACTGACTTAGGAATAAAGAAAAAATATAGTCTACGCTCATCACTGATGTAACAATCAAACAGAAAATAGAGCGTGCGCTTATTACTAATCTCGCAATGAAGTACAAGTATAGTTTGCGCTTATTACTGACATAACACTCAAACACAAAATATAGTGTGCGGTTATCACTAACGTAACAATCAAACACAAAACAGAGCTTGCTCTTATTACTAATCTCGCAACGAAGTACAAGTATAGTTTGCTCTTATTACTGACCCAACACTAAAACACAAAATATAGTGTACGCTTAGGACTAACGCTACAATCAAACACAAAACAGAGGTGGTGCTTATTACTTCCGTAGCAATGAGGTACAAATATAGTGTTCGCTTATTACTGAGGTAACACTCAAACACAAAATATAGTGTGCGCGTTTCACTAACGTAACAATCAAACACAAAACAGAGCCTTTGCTCATCACTCAAGTCACTATAAAGTACAAAGAGATTGTGTGCTTGTCCCTAACGTAGCAATGACCTAACAAAATTGTGCTCCTCTCATTAACGTAGCATTATATTAAAAAAATATAGTATAATCTTAACTTAGTGTGTGCGTTATCAGTAACGTAACAATCAAACACACTGCAGCATGCGCGCTCATCGTTTACGCTATAATACAACACAGCTGCGAGCTTAACACTGACGTAACAATCAAACATAGGAACGAGTCGCGCGCTTGTCAATAACGTAGGGTCGTGAGTTCCTTTCTCACCTGGCGCTCTGATTTTTTTCTGAGCTTTCTGAGGGTTAGAAATCTCCTTCCTCCAAACACAAAACAAAGTGCGCGCGTCTCACCGACGCATCAAACAAACCTAACACAGTGCGCACGTTCACCACTAACACAACTATGAACCCAAACCAGAGTGTGCGCTTATCAGTAACGCAAGAATGAACACAAAACAGAATGTGTACCTACCACAAACTTAATTTTTGACAGAGCTTGAGGAAGCAACGAGTTCCTTAATTAAATAGTGTATCGAATTGTTGTCTTACAAGCAGCGAAAACGCGTTTAGCCCTTCATTTTATTTATACAAACTATGAATGTTTTTTATCTTTTGCTTTTTCAGGGATATGAACCAACACTTTTAAGAACACAGGTATTTTGCTCTAAATAACCTTCTCAGCTGTCCTTCAGTTACTTGTTGTCTGGGTTAGACTGTTACTCTATGATGTATCTGATAAGCATTTTCACGCTGAACCGAAAAACAAGAAAGGAAGTTAAACTTCTTACGTAAAGTTTGACGTTTCTTTCACAGTCGCTATTATTCAGTGGTATACGATTGTCAATCTGAATTCAATTAGGGGTCGTCAAATACGTGAATTAAATTGGATTTTACGCATCCTGAGGAATCGAATATTTATCGGACGTTGCTACTTAAAACTACATCAAAGAGGCACTGAGTTACGTGGGATGTTAGCAACTCTTTAATGAATTGCTACACTCCTTGTTAGTAATAATAACTATAGTTTGCTCATTTTTCAGTACCGTTGCAATCCTGCAATAAGTGCCATATCCAACAGGTTGGTAGTCTCTCCGCTAAAATATTGACTTATTAACTTATCACCCAGTTCTGCGTGAAGGCGTACAGGTTTTCTATTCTGATAGTTGTTATCTCTTTCTTTGATATTTTGCTAACTCCCCCCATAATTTCCTGACTAACAAACTTTAAGACAAAACGTTTTCCGAGCATTCAACCATCCGAGCATTTATGAAGAAGAATATTCTCGCTCCGAACTTTTTTGAAAGACCTTCCGGAACATCAGGTGGCAAAAATCCTCGAAAAATTTTTACGTCTATCGTAAAAGATGCCCGCGCAAAAGGTGATTGAAAGTCTTATGTGTTAACTTAATAACATGCCTCATCAGCGTTACGTTTGAATACATTTTTTTTATTCTTAAATATGAAAACGAGATTTGATTTCTTTTAACAGGCTGTTTTATGACAACAAACTTCTCGATGGTGTATCTGCTGAGGATCGTTCTCCAATAGTGGTTAGTGAATTTGATCATTTCACAAATATTCTTAAAAGGGTTTATGTCGTAGTGTTTACAACAAAGTTTTGTAGAGTAAAAACAAAGTGGAAGAAACCTGCTATGCACAGCCCTGAAGGTTTTCCAAATCAAGCTTTCCAGTGGATGAATTTATCCATTTTACGTCCTTTGCCTTACGATAGCTCGAACACGGCTAATTAATATGACCATTGTTTCGACCTTGACTGCCTTTACTATCGTTCTAAACATTTTGTTCTGTAGAACCTTGTTCCCACTCTTTGCTTCTACAATGTGGCTAACGGAAGGGAGAAATGCGGCAATGATGGCAGCTACTACAATGAGGAGGAGGTAAAAGAAAATTGCCCCAACCCCCCCTCCTAACCTGATACATTTAATACGAGCATCTGCTCTTGAATGTGAATGTATTCTTATATTATTATTTACCTGTAACGCCTGCCCTTCGAAGCCGAAGATTGATGGCGTGGGGTCAGCTAAATACTACGAAAAAAAGAAAAATGCAAAGTACATTTCTAGTTTACAGGACTGTGATTGAATGAGGAAACGGACTGTACAAATTTAGTTAAATTAGTGTTGTCAAAGAGAGACTGAGGCAGACATTTCCACTGAGTGATTGTACTAGGGTAGAATGAGAGAAGAGGGAATGTCTAGTTTCATGTCATTTTTGCCTCTGATTTCTTTTGTTATTATTGTGTTTTTAGGCGAAATTTGTTGTCTTTCTCATCGAAAGCTTGCTGAAGTCTGGGATGCAACCATCACAAATAGGTATGTACTGTGTCCAGCTCTGTGGGCGTGGTGTTAGTGTCAGTTTGGACGCCGTATCAAGAATTCAGGGTTCACACCCTGTTTGAGTCACTGTGTTGTGTTCTTAGCTAATAAACCTTACTCTCTCATTGCCTTACTCCTGCACTCAGGTGTATAAATGGGTACCAGCGAATTTAATACTGGGGGAGTTTTTTGATGGACTGGGGTCCCGTCCAGGGGGGATAGAAATATTCCTTTTCGCTGCATGCTACAGAAGATCCAGCCTGATGAGGCACTTGGCTCTAATGCAAACTTACGTAGCCTACCTAGTGTTGAAGAAGTCTCGAAGACACATACCATTCAATTCAATACAATTTCAGAATTTAACTTCTAACTTCTCATTAACCCAAACGCAAACTATACACTTGGCATATTTTAAGTAGTTCTGTTATTATGCCCTCTGATGAAAGTCCAATAGCGGAGTACTAAAGCTTATCGTTAATGTTTTCGCGTCACCTTTGGTTTTTCAATTGTACTACTTTGTGGTTTTCTTTAGGTGTGATTACGCTGTACAAGAGTCAGCTTCGCACAGTAGCCAGCCAATTAACAGCGTCTGGGTAAGAACGTTTAAATGCAGAGTTGCGATTCATTAATAACATTGCGCTCATCATCTGACACATCATCTCACTTGAGAAAAATTGCAATGTTTAAAAGGAACTAAGAATATTCAATCATAATACTTAAATAAGGACAATGGTATAAGTACAGGATCAAAAATCGCATTATATTGATCAATATGCAGTTGAATGCGAGCAAGGGGGGAAACGGTCCCTTGAATACTAGCTGTATTTGCTGTGCGGAGTGCTGTCTACAGTCTAGCCCAACAAATCTAACAAATCTTAACTGTTATTTGCCGTACATTGTTTCTGCAGGACTATTTCTCACGCGGAGCTCAAAGCCATTCAGGTGAATACCGCAAACGTTTCGAGCGTCAAGGGAATGGTGTCACTGCAATAATTGATCGATAAGATTTACAGTTTTTGGCGTCCATTTCCGCTGAGATTTCTCAGAAAACCGTGCGTACAAGAAGACGAAAACAAACTGTGCGACCATGACGTCATTTCCATTGTCTACTGTTATTGACCATAGCTCTCGACCAATCAGTGCGCGAGAAATCGCTCTGTTATTGTAAAATTATTTTTTTGCTCTCTTCTTTTGAACCAGATATCAACTGTTGATGCTTTTCAAGGCGGGGAGAAGGATGTTATTATATTGTCCTGTGTTCGTACAGATCACATTGGATTCATTGACTGTGACAAGTACGTTTGGCTGCTAAACCCAGTATTGTATATCTTGTGTTAGGTAGTCAACCCTACCTAAGGCCGAATTCGTTGCGGCTTACACTAAGTCTCGTTGCTCAAGAGGTGTTTGCCGTATAGAAAGTCAAACAAGAGGAAAGAAGAACGGAAGAGTGTTGATGACGTTCAGATTATGACTTGCAAGGGGAATGGGGCGAGCGTGGGCTCCCTGTTCATTTAGCATTAGAAATGTGTTCAATTTTGCTAAATATACGTAATTCTATTTAAAACTAATTTAACAATAATTTCATTTCATTTCATGAGTAGTAAATAATTCTCTCCTTTTTTTATCTTAGACGCAGTAATGTTGCCCTAACAAGATCGAAGAGGTTTGTACAAGCTTTTTCGGTGATCTTTACTTTGGTTTATCCTTGTCTTTCTTGACGGTCCTTCGTGTTTGTCCTTACCTTGTTTTCCTTAAGGGATACATCATACTTCTCAACAAAATTGCGCTCGTTGATATTATATTTAAATCGAAGATACTGCTCGTAAGCTGGTTTTTGTTTCTTCCCAGGCATTTGCTCATTGTTGGCAACCTTAAAATGCTGTCTTGTAACGCTGTATGGGGGAAAGTCATCGAACACTGTGGAAGTAAGTTGCTTATTTCCCCCCCCCTTTTCTTTCATGATATAATCAGGCCAAATTTTTTTCAGTTCCCTTGATAGCCTTCGATTCATGCCAATAAATTACGGAAAAAATAGATCACCATAGCAGGCTTAAAATAAGATCGTGTTCCAACCAGATCGCTTGGTAAGGAGTCGATTCTCATTGTATGGACCTTAGTGAAATCAGCGACTGATATCACGAGGAAGTTAAATCTGAAACTAGATTAAAAGTCTGACGTACGCGCGGTGCCACTGTAGGGTATTGGAGCTCCTGCCATTGTCGATTTTTGTACTGTTTGCGCCAGAGACTGGGTCAGTGTTGTGTTGCATCGCATTGTGAAACTGTTATTGGTGACGAATTCTGCCCTAGTTTCTGCGCAATGTCATAAAAAAGAGAAAGCATCTCCAATAATGTACCACCGCGAAATACGACACAACACCGACTCAGGATAAAGAGAAACCTCAACATGCCGATATGCAACGAAAAGATTTTAACGTCATTGTTTTAATTTCAATAGATTTTCCAAACGGACTTTGCTACTCAGACGAGTTTATAGAGAAGTGTCAAGAAAAGGAGTCGAATGCTTTGAACGAAGGTTGGTCAAAACTTGTATACTGCCTTGACAGTTTTGATTATCATTAGGTGCTTTTGGTTGTCCAACTCTATTATTACACAGTATTGGCCATTTTGCAGTTGCCCGTTGAACTGGGTCGGGTAACATAAGTGTCGTGTGGAATATGCCACTCCGTCCTCCAAAACCCCTCACTTTCAAAATGAGGCCAACTGCAAAACCTTTCATGTGAAAATGAGTTTTATTTACATGAGAATTTATCTTATTGTATTTTATTTATTCCTCCAATTCCTAGCTGATACATAGTTATGTAAATATAACGTGAAAAAAGTAATATAGTAACAGATAAAGATTTACAAAGGAAAAAACACGTAAAACAGAAATTACAACACTTAAATTGAATTACATTGTATATTGGAAGAAGAAGAGAGAGGGGCACATCTAGATAAACTAATATTGTGCCCCTTAAAGTTATGTATAACAAAGAACTTGAGATTATTAATAATAAAAAATAAAAAATTATTTCCATATAAAAGGATGAGCACTTAACCTCGTTTTGATATAGAGGCCTGGGGAAACTCGGAAATGGCCTATTGCATCACGTGACTGTTTTGGGGACTCTAACGCTTTTTTTATTGGCCATCACAAAGTTGAGTAAGAACTGAGTCAAAAAGCGACCAAAAAACTGACCCAAAATGCAGTTTGGCACAATTCCGTCCCAGTCTCACGCGGTTCTCAAAACGGCCAATTTGTTCGACTTAGAGTCCTCCCTTAATAAGCGCACTGTGAAAGCTAAAGGTATCATCAAGCCCTTGGTAAGGAAAAGAATCCAGAGGCAAAAAGGCTGGGTGGAGTACTATTTATTTCGTAACAAAATAGACGAGAAAAAAAAGACCCTGATTTAATTTTCTCTGTCTTGCTGCAGATTTAGAAGATTCAAAAGGGCATGCAGACCAACTGAGTAATGTTGGAAGGCAAAACGCTGTGAAAGTAACATCAGATTCGTCTTCTTTATCACAACCTTTCAGCGCATGCGCGGGCGCTCTTCGGAAAGGATTTGAAACAGAAACACGGCGTTGTGAAGAAAACACCTCATCTGTACATATTATCGATACTAACGGGGGTGGGGATGAGGACAATGATTTTGATCTCCCGACATTCGACTTAATATCCTCTTTAGGAATTTAAATACCTTTGAAAATGTCCTGCTGGTAATTGTTTCTTCTGAAAATGAACGCTGGTCGAAAAACTTGTGGAAAAATATCATAGGGATCGTTTTTTAAGGAAAAGTATGGTTCTGGGGGGTGAAATTTCTCCTCTTCTAAAGCTCTTTCAGATGATATAAGTTTGACTTTGAAATTAAAAACTTTATTTAACCCATTTTGGTGACGTCAGCCGTTGTGACGTCACAATTTGACATTTTGCGTCAAACAGAACTTAATATCATTTGGTCAACAATCGTAGTCTATCTGGCGAGTTTGGTCAAGAAATGAAAAGAAATGTAAAAGATACGTAAATTTAGCTTAATAATCCTTTTGAGGGGTGGTTTGGCTCCACCAAAGGAAGTTGACTTCAGGCAGATTAGCATTGCACTGAAGACTTGTGAATGCGTATATCTCTCCTATTTTTGTTTGATTTATGTATAAAATTCTGGTTCTAAGCCCTGGGCTGACAGTCAAATCTCTCTCAAGGAGCACCTCTTTAAAGCGCACACTTATAGAGTTGATTCCTGCGATTGTTCAATCATGGATAATATTCGTCTCTTACTAGTATTCGACAGAAACCTCTCAAAGACGGGCACATTACTATTGCCTGTTCCAACGGCGTTTCCGCAGAGAAAACTGACTGCGCACAACTATAAGGTTTGGGTGAGCTTATAGAAGGCGGGCAAGACTGTCATGGAGATTTGATATGTCGTTTTATGTTTAGATGTTGAAAAAATTCATTCTTGTTCAACATGAAAGCACAATTAAGATAAAAGTACTGAACTGCAAGGGTGGCACTGCTTTAAGATGGTGTCGGTTGTGTTTTATTGTGTTGTGTGGTTTAATGGATAATTTTCAACATTTTTACGTGACGCGTCCTATTTGGTCTGTACAAGAGCCATTATGGCTCTTGGTCTGTGATAATAAGTGGCCAGTATCCAAAGAAAAGATCGGAGAGTGCGGATTGTATCCGGCGCGCGGGAGGTGAGATGCGGGGATGAAGAAGAGGGCTCTTTGTCGTGGCCGGTAAGTCCTTTGGTGACTACGCCTTGTCCCGTTCTGGCCCTGTTTTTAAACAAACTTTTTCTGGCGGTTGTTCAAATGTTAAACTTAACATTTGACATGCTAAATAGTTTTCTATCGCGCGTGTGAAAATTTAGAAATCTGATATTTTTTCAGTGAAGTATACACTGGTTAGAGGTCTTTAACCGCATCATGGATAACACAAATTGGTGCGAAAGCTTCATAATTACTCTCACGGCAATCTTAAGGTGTGCGCGTTTTGGTTTGGCTCCTAAATAGCAAATTATAATCTTAACTTACAGCCAGTTTAATGGCGCGCTATATATTTTGTTCCTTTCGAATGTTACACTTTATTTGACTTTGAAGACCACGATTTGTCAAATTGTACTTTGAATGGTACTGCATTCAATGATCAGCCAACATACGGCAATAACACATTAGCAAGGGGGATTGAGTATGGGAGCAACTACAAAGGGGATTGGTGGATTGGTACCATGGAGGAATGCAAAAAGATGGTCCCCATGGCTCAATGACGTCACCCACTTTTCAGATTACTGGAAAGTTCCTCACGTTCCTGATTAGAGCAGGCTGCAAAGATTATACAGTTCCAGACATTCGTGCTGAGCTTATTGTTGATGGGGAAGTGGTTCGTAAGGAGACACCGGCAGCGTGTAAAGAAGCTATGACAGAGAAAAGCTGGAATGTAACAGGTTACGCTGGTAAAAATGCCCAGTTGCGTTTGGTTGACCATTTCACAGGGCCCTGGGGTCACATCAATTTTGATCACTTACAAGCTTGCCATAAACGTATTTCAGACACGAATTCTTGAGTTCTCTTGGTTAAGTATTAAACTTGAGAAGTTATGTAAGATTAAAAACATAGTACGAACTACTAGTAAATTTCTGTTCCTCTTTTCCAATCCCCCACTACATAAGTTTTTTGATTTAATTTTGCAGTTAGTTAGAATTTATAGTTATCTTCGTTAATTTTTCTCTACATTATATCCATTTTGTAGGGCATTTAGAGTTTGATGTTTTGAATTAACTCGGTGGTATTTTCTTAAACATTCAAAGGGAATTGACCGACTTTATTCTCCTTTGAAAAAACAATTGCAATGGGAGTCATTCCTCTCCCCGAACTAAATTACAAACTCCAAACGAAAGGAAGTTAACGGGCAACAGTGGGGTGCAATGACCTTCCACGCGACATGTTTCGCAGAAATAAATTCTGTTCTGGAGCCACGTGACCAGACCCAAACAGGGTCTCTGTCTCTTTCCCTCGCTCTGTAGGGACGAGTAGGAGAGAACCCTGGGAACGAGGTTGATCTCAAATGTCAACTGAATACAGCCGTTTAGAGTATCATCTTTTGCTCTATGTATATGCATAAAAGCCATTAACTTGTATACGTTGTTTTTTTACAACGTTTTGTTTTTTTAGCGTTAAAATTAATAAAAAAGCCTCTACATGATGAGTATTATCAAGCATTTTAGTGGAAAAATGGAGCATTAAGGTAGAGCATTTTAGTGGGGAAACAAAAGCATATTGTACAAAAGCTTAGCTTAATTCCTTCAGGATAACAACACACCGGCGGGAAAGCCTTCCTGTTTGTTTGGTGAAATGTGTGTGAGAACATATCCGCCCCAGTCTCCTGCTCTATAAATAGCTTACAGGATAACTACAATCCTCACTCTGACCTGTTTAGGCATCCAAAATCGAACCCAAAAAAGAAAACGGAGAAGATGAGTAAAATGATAAAACCAAAAACCCTCTTAATTAATGGTAAGCTGGCGATACCGACATGTGCCTCAATGATTGATTCACACTCTTTTTTGCACAACAAAACATCAAAGAACACTTAGAAAAAGCTAGAAAAGACACGAAAAATGCTCAAAATCTTGCTGAGTTCATTTCAATACTTCCTTCTGGTCGCAACTCTCACCCTTACGTTGCAAGTCTTCGTGAGCTTTGCTAAAACTGTCAGTGAGTAAAGTGGAAACACAATACAAAGAGCCCCAAAATAACGCCAAACATTCTGGTAGAGGAACGGAGGTAAGGTTAAGGGAGGGGAGGGGAGGTACGTTGTACGAGGCTACGCAATTGGATGAACGGCAAGCTGAACTTCACTAACAACTCCCATGAACTTCTTCCAATGGTCTTTCGAGACTCTGGACTTGTTCAAGTTCAACTCTGCTGTTGCGACAAATGTTGGTCAGTGGACTCCCTGTCTTGGTCAGAAAACTTGTGCCTTACTAGATCCCATAGACGACGGGGGGGAACTCAGGAAAAGAGGAATGTAAAGGGCGTCTTATAGAGACGGAGGGCCAGGAGCCCGTGGAAGGGCAGATGGTATCAGTTATCGATCCATAAAGGACTAGAACCAAAGTAGTGACACAAAACTAAAAGACTTGGAGTAGAATTCAACAAGGTCAAGATTTAGGACCTGGAGCTACATAACACGCATAGAGGGCAGAGCTGAAGAAAATCGGTAGCGTTCTCTATTATACTAGTCAGACACTTTTTTCCCTTTTTAACCCATTTATTGACCACATACTTAGTTGAAAATAAGAATTGTCACGTGTATTCAAGCTTCTATTCTACGCTCTTGATGTGTTACAGTAATTACGATTAATTTGAAACTACAGCAAGAAGAAATTTATGGTTAGTGCTCCCTGATTAAATTTTCCTGATACCTTCCTCGTAACTCTACAGGAGCATTTTGTGCAAGGACAAAGGCGTTAAGGAATGACTGTAGCATACTACTGAGCTCCGTAGCACTTGAGTTTCCCAAGCGTGTGGTAACCTTTTTCTCTTGAACCACCTGTATCTCCAAATCTCAGCTGTAAAACTGGAAGGTCAGACTTTTCAGTAAGGAGACCGCTGTCCTCACGCCACACGCCATCATTCTTATCGCAGTTACATCCACGGCGTCTGTCTGCACATGTGTTGTTCACCCCGCATGCGCACTTGTAGGAATCTGCAGGAGTGGCCCCTCCCCAGTACGTCATTTTAACGTTGTCACGTGAGACCCACCATCCAAATTGCTTACCGCTGTGTAAGACAGAGCCATAACATTCGTATTTGATAAACTGCTCACAATGTGTAGAGATGTCCAGAAGACCAAACAATTGAGCATTGCTTGTCAGGCCGCTTCCTGTGTAATGAATATCACGTACATAGCATCCTGGAGCTTCACAGCCATCGATCAGGGTCCTCTGTTCACTATCATGACCAACAACTGTCACACCAACTCCGTTCTTGTCTGTCATGTCACAATGAACAGTGAATGGTTCGTAGCTTTCTTCTCCATCGGGGTCGATAACATACGATCCACTTGTAGCTTGTGGACTGTGCAGTTTTATTTCACTGCAGGTTTTACCTAATTTGATTTGATAAATGAAAAAAAAAACCACAATCAATCTCAAAAGTGAATTTTGTAAATACAGTGTAGATTGGCATAGCTTAAGACAAGAAAAGGCACCTGATCATCTCAACACGCTTTTTTGCCATTTAAATTGTTTATCACAGAAGGAAGAAAGAAAGATGGAGGAGAATTAAAGCAGACACGGTATCCAATTATAAAAAGACTCCAGCGTACATTGGCGAGCTATTACTTACAGTGCTACTTGCGGTGCTCCTAGTTTTGACCGCCGACTATTGGGACTGGTCAAAAAGTATGGGGAGGGGGGGGGAGGGGGGGGTGCCGGAGCATTTGGAAATATGGTTGATAAAAAACACATGAGCCACCCCCTCCCTTCGGCACAAAAATGACTGACCCACCCCTAAAGCAAGGTTGGAAATTGCATGACCCACCCCCTAGTTAAAACATGGATGCTCGGTTTCCTCTTAATAATCCAATAAAACCTTGTTCTGTGCTTGACAAAATTTGTTGATACACCAAGCAATATCAAAATCACAAAAGGCGAATGTGAAAAACCGAACATTTCTTGTTTCAATGGACGATATGAGTCTTGACACAAATATACAGCAAAACGAGGGTATATTGAAATTATCTGTCACAAAGCATGTGAAAATTTCAACATAGACAACCCATTCCTACACATTACTTGCCGGAAATGCTTAGATTAATCCTCAACGAAAATTTGTTCCACTTCAGTGGAAAGCAATACCCACAAAACCAAGGAACTGCAATGGGCACAAAGACAGCAGTTTTGATTCCTTGAGTCAACTCGAAAATGGCCTATTAGAATTACAATATACCTGACTTATTATTTAGCAATTTTAAAATGGGTGAGGCTGAGTAGGATATGAAGAATTATGCAGATCGAGGAGGGTGTTTTTATTGTTTGTGGCCGTTAAAAAGAATATTTTAAAAAACTAACCTCATTTCATTTCATTACACACCTTACGCTTACTGCTCACAAAAAAGGAGCGAAATCGATTTTTGACCGTGGTCGTGATTTTTCCGATTTTGTTTGATCTTTACTCAGCGCTTAAAAGCGCTGATGAAAATAGCAATATTGATATTGGCGCTATATAAGTTTTATTACTATTATTACTATTATTATTATTATTATTATGTAAAATTTAGCACAGGGATTTTCCCTGGGGAGAAATATCCAGTCAAGTCTCATCCCGAGACCTCAGACTTCCAGCACTTTTCTGAGGATATGTGCCGATCCGAGGAGTGCCGACGTTTGCATCGTTCTTGTTCGGTTCTTAATTCCTAGTTGCTCCAAGTGGCCTGCCAGCTTCTTTGACACTGAACCCAATGCACCTACAACCACTATTATTATTATTATTATTATTATTGTTATCAAGTACTTATTGTCATCTGTAAATTCTATTTGGTCAGAGGCTCAGTCTCATTTACCCAAGAACATTTACAATTTTACCATCCGCTACATCAACAACTCCCTCCCTACACGTAAGAATATGGCAAGATGGGGATTATCACAAAGTCCTGATTGCTCCTTTTGCCTTAATCCTGAATCACTCCTTCATGTTGTCGCTGGTTGTCAACAGTACCTTGATCGCTTTACCTGGAGACACGACTCAATCCTTAACTTCATTGCCAAGTCACTTCAACCTGTAATTAATGTTCACTCTTCACTCTATGCAGATGTTAATGGTTTTCTGAATCCCTCAATAATAACTGGTACAAATTATCGTCCAGATCTTCTTTTCCTAATCCAGTCCAAGTGCCTATATGTTCTGGAATTAACAGTTGGTTTCGAGTCTAACCTTAACAACAATGCAATGCGTAAGAAAGAAAAATATCTCAACTTGATCAACAAAATGAGTAGAAATTTCAGATGTGTGAGATTTGTAAATCTCTCCATGAGTTCCCTTGGCGTTTTCTCCGATGAATGCTCCACGTTCTTAGACATGATGAATGACATTGGCATCGACAAAAAGCAGCAACATTATATAATCAAGAAAATGATAAATATAGCCATTAGAGTAACATATTACATCTTTTGTTGTAGAAATAGGAAGTGGGATATAGCCCAGACTTAATGCAATTTTGAATTTTTTTCTTTTTTGGCTTTTGTTTTGTTTTTGTTTTCTTATTAATAATCCAATCTGGAGCAGCATTTGTAAATTGCCTATACGTAGCGAGATTTTCAAAAAAACAAATAAAGTTGCCATTATCATTATTATTATTATTATTATTATTATTATCATTATTATTGCTGCGGAGCGACCGAAGGGAGCGAGCAGCAACATAATCAGGATTTAAAGGAAATATATAAGGGGAGACGAATTCTCGAATTCATCACTTTTTACCACAATGCATTGCATTTAACCACACTTTTTACCACAATGCATTGCATTTAACCAGAGTGCATTGCGCCACGAACAACTCAAATAAAAACACGGGGGAGTTCGGTGTGTGAGAGAGTGCATCGTTCGCTGCTCAGACTTAGAGTTTTCTTTGTGGCAAATTTTCTACAGCACGGTTAGAGGTCTTACCAAATTTTAAGACACGCAGGAGTCTTTGAGATGAGTACGATGGTTAACTTGCGGATTGGATTTCAATTCAAGAGCCTTTTTTGCTCTTCGACTCCGCAACACGGGGGATATACAAATTCCAGCTTGCTAGAAGGTGATGTGAAAGTGAGAAAAGGTCATGCAATGCTATTCTTAAGAAACTGTATGAGCCGAAAATGGATGTGAAGTTGACCATTCGCTTCAAAATAACAGCGGAAATCGAGATAACAAAACATATGTTTTGTGTCCTACTTTGCAGACGAGGACGTGTATCGGCGTTTTGAAAAGCATAATTATGTTCTTTCATTCATTTATTGCCATGGAATATGAGTTTAAATTGTTTTTTCACTGTTAAGTGAAAGACTTTTTCTGCATATTACGTAATCAGTCTCTGTGGTGTAGTGGTTAAGTGCAGTCGCGTCGAGTCGAAGGTGCTGGGTTCGAATCCTACTGAGTTATTTAGTTATTCTTTTTTTTTCCCTTTTTTGTGTTGTTGTTTTCTATAAATATATAGCTAAATAACTGTTACTTAATAAAGTGCAACAAACAGCAAGAAAAGTATTTTGTTTCCAGAGAAAATATCGTGCACCGTATATTAAATATATGGATAAACGATCTGAATTTCTATTATTTCCTACAATTTACTGTGGGAAAACCAGAGTTGATAACCACTTGATCATTTCTAAACAACGTTCCCACGAGTTCTTTCTATAGACTGATAGTAATTAGTCTAGTACTTTCCAACATGTAAATAGGACATTCAATGTCATTTTTGATTCTTTTAAGTCTCACTGCCTAACTAATGCCAGTATCAACAGAATGTGCCGCAGCATTACTATCTTTTAGATACCCTAGTTATTATTATTATTATTATTATTATTATTATTATTATTATTATGTTCATTCCTTGTAGACTCAGGCAGGATGTTCGGCCTGATTTATAGTCCTTGGGAGCGGGCTACAACAAGTCACCACGGGTCCCAGGTCTTTCTTTTCCTTCTTCTAACAGGGACAGTACTTTCCTTAGCGAACGTTATCCAGAAAACAGCATTGTTGAGGACAGCAAAGATACTGAGGAAAGTACTGTCCCTATTATTATTATTATTATTATTATTATTATTATTATTATTATTATTGTTATTATTATTAACGATCTCAAGTGGAACGTTTATATCATATACAACTATCCCCCGAAGGGGAGGTGATCAGAATAGTGGGGTAGCAGCTGCTTCATTTACCGCTAAAATTTCATCTTTCGAAACTGTCGCGAAACGAGAAGCAGAATCCCGTCCCAAAACAGTGAATATCCAAGGATGTTCTTCGTCACGGGAGCCAATCAGAACGCGCGAAAATTGCTATCCACTGATTTGGTGAATTAAATGAAACTATTAAAAACGCAAATAAGCGTTTGTATTTTTTTGTTTCAGCGTTAGCTGTAAAGATATTGTTGACTTCCACTGCAGAGTAATTAGATCCGTACTAGAATATTGCTCGCCCATTTTCCACCGTAGCCTACCCGACTGTCTAAGTGAGCGTGTACAAAAAAGAGCGCTCTCCATAATAGCGCCTGATAAATCATGCAAACACTGTTTAGTCAGTTTTGGTCTCAGCACTTTATACGATAGGCGTAACGATCAGTGTATTTAGCTGTTTAATAGAGTGTTTTTACATGACGTCACGGCAGCCATATTGGTGTCCCAAAATAATGAAACGGCGGCCATGTTGGTGTCCCAAACCAGTCCTGTGGGAATTGAACTCCTTTCATATGCAAATGATTTCTTTTGTTTCAATAAATTTGCATAGATGCTGGCCACGTGAGTGAAACACTCTATAGTATATCCTCGGATCAGCACAAATTTACTTGCTTGCTTTCTCCGAAACACCAAGGCTACTACAATACCAGGCATGAGAGTGTTTACGACTTGTCCCGCTTTCGCAAAAACCGCTGCAAAAATTCGTTCAAACCAGCCATGTGCGGTCGTCCAAACATGTTATTATAATGTAAGATTAAGTGTTATTACGTTATTTTTCCTTTCTTTTTCATTATTCCTAATTAACGAAATTGTAATTAGTCTTTTGCCATTATTTTATACTTTTTATTGTATTGTAAATAATTAAACAATTCAGCCTTCATCCGGCTGCGATTTGATTATTTTATTACCTGATGATCTATCTTTACTAGGAGAAGTAACGCCTTCAGTGGATTGATCAGATGTACTAAACTTCGATCAAGCTGGATTGAACCACCGCAAGATTGAGGATAACATCTTCTTCGCTCTACATAATTCTTCACGTCCTACTCAGCCTCATTCAGTGATTGCTAATTATGACAACGATCACTTTGTCGATCATAGGCTAGACTTCAAACTCTTATTTGTACATTTGGAAATGTCTCTTTTGAATTCTACTCAGGGACTCAAACGCGTCAACTCGAGACAATATAATACTGAATTAATAGCCTTAACATTAAGACGATACAGGTCTTTACTGAAATATAATCACCTGTGCCGTTAACTCCGTTCCCATAATACCCTGGTTTGCAAGTGCACTCGAAAGATCCTTCAGTGTTATTGCAGGCTGCATTGGCATCACAGTTGTGCTCTCCTGTTATACACTCGTTTACGTCTGCAAATCAGATGCAGGACTTAATCATCAAAACTGATTTACTTAACCTTTTATTTTCTAGGATTGGTTACGATAAGAAGAGAGAAGGAGAGAGAGATTTCTGGCTATGCTAGAAAGCAAAAACATTTTTGCTATATATTGAGCAGGTGAAAAATTCACAAAAAAATTAATGACATCACGTGTATAGATAGAGGATTAGCGAGACCTAAGGAAGCAAGATATTATAGAATGCAATCTTGTAGGAGCACAATAAAATAACACATTAAAAAACTTAAATATTTCAAGCATGTATAGGGGTAAAATTGCATACAGATACTGTAAATCACAAACTTTTGTAATGCAAGGGTATTTCCATACTTTTTCATCTTAAACTGAAAAACAAACTGTAGCTATAGGGACTAAGCTGTATACTACCTTGTGGGTGAACTTGGCTCTAATGCGAGATAAATGGAGTTGATTAGAAAAAGATTTATTATAAAGAAGACCGAGGTATTGTTTTCACCTGTGCAGTTAACTCCATCCCCAGAATACCCTGGCTTGCAGGTGCACACAAAGGATCCTTTAGTGTTTTTGCAACTGGCGTTTGCATAACAGTTGTGCTTTCCTGCTTCACATTCATTTATATCTGGAAAAAAAGAAGTCAGGCACTGAATTATCAAAACTGACTTAATTTTTCTTTCACAGCAATTACTGTGGCCTACCACAATAGCCATTTGATGCGATCAATTTTCATTTTCAAAACGAGGTCAATCCTCAAACCTTTCTCCTTTGAAATTTATTTTCATATCAAAAGGCTTCGCACCTCGCCTCGTTTTAAGACAGAAGTTCGAGTCAACTCGAAAATGGCCTATTAGAATTACAATATACCTGACTTATTATTTAGCAATTAATGGGTGAGGCTGAGTAGGATCTGAAGAATTAAGCAGATCGAGGAGGGTGTTATCGGCCGAGGTGGATAACACCCTCACAAATCCGCTATAACAATAACACAAATCTGCTATTTATTTTCTTATTTAAAACATTAACCCCACATATTAATATTTTTAAAAAGAGGAAGACCTAGTGTACACAACTATAGTTAAAAAGGTCTGAATTTAGTTTTTGTGTCCGAATGAAGACTTTCTGAAAACCGTCTAATTTCACGTTTAAAACCAGTGAAATCTTGATATTTTGGGTCGAGACGGTTTTTTATTGTTTGTGGCCGTTAAAAAGAG